TTTTGAATACAGTTTATTGTAGGATCCGCGAGGAAAAAAGAAAGGCAACCTTGTTCGAATTGTTGGGCGGGGGCAATTCGATTTTGAGCAAGGATGATGTAGGTGGTTCGCTCTCGCAGGTAAGGTGTTAATTGGTTGTCCCTTCCCTGGTGGTGGTCTCCAGCTCCACCCTACCCCGGAGACAGTTATGCGTAACAGTTACACTTTCTGCGAGGGCCCCACAGAGTATCCACTTCCCTTGGTGGCAGCCTCCAGCTCCACCTCCCCAAGACTGTCGTGGTGAAGCTTATATATGACTATTATCCAACCATTGACTGTTTTCTACATCTTTAAAAAACCCTTGTATGCTATCGAACATACCAGCTTGTCAACTTGTCGGATGACTATTACGGTTAAGAAGACTCCTGGTGAATTTCAGAGTGTGGATACAATCAGGAGCCAGTGGATATAGACGAATGACTGAGTGCCGGCCTAACTAGAAGAAAGTCCCGCTATCAAGAACCCCCAGTGGTCTCGGACTGTGACATTGTAGTCAATAAAACAAACAAGACAAGGCTGTTTTGTTCAAGTTACTTAGCCAGAGTCAAGAACTAAAGTTTCAATTTAGTGCCTCTAGAGTACACGACGAAGTCGCTTATGTGCAGGTCCCAATAATGGAAAAGGATCGATCAAAACAGAAATGGAACAAGTATTGAATGACGAAGAAAAAGTGGAGAATGACAAGACCATTCGCTTACGCTGCAGGGTAGCTTGAGTAGACATTTTCCAGAAAGTCGCCGTATACAGACCAAACTTTGTGCAGATTGTCCTGCATCTGCGTAGCGTAGCCGAAATTCTTGGTCGCCTCATCGCCTCTATAGCAAGAAGGCAAAACAGTAAAGTGGGTTTCGATAAGTGCATTTTAATTACACTAACATCGCGGTCAAAAGAGACGACAGAATAAGCTAAAACGTCTCGGCACACCAGACTAACCAACGAGGTCGAAACCGCATAACCGGTTAGGGTGGCGTATCGTGTTGAAGCCCCGGTGGTCAGAATTTCGAGCGGCATGGGTGGAAAGCAAGCAGACCGGGGCGAAGAAGACAGCAAATTGCCAGAAGCGATCAAAAAAGTAGGCGATACAAAAGTGCAACGGATTGCAACTGAACAACACTTCCAGGAAGCTCCACTCAGGCAGACATCTTTGTCCCAATCCATCGAAAACTAGGTTTGGGTTCCCACTGTATGACTCCACCTTATCGTCTAACACGCAGTCTCCCTCTTAAGCTACGCAAGACTTGTGCTTGTTGTGGTAGACTGCTATGAGACCAATTGAGCACGTTGCCTAACCAAAAAAATCCGAAGCATTCTACTGGCCGGACACTTAGAAAAGGGTTGGTCGAATGCGCGTAGTACTTTAGCTAACAGTCAATTGTAGCCGACGTAAGGACTTAATCTCTCAGCAGGCCACAGGTTTTCCTTCTTTTAGCAAGATGCATAGCCGGTGGCGAAGACCATGGCGCATGAGATAGAAGAAAACCCATCGATCTTAATAAAAGACAGGGTTACAGATAGCAAACTAATCAAACGTACACTGAAAAATATATACACAAGGTACCTATTTCTGACGCTTAACCATAAGTAGTCGGAGACATGCGAATTGTTGCATATTATAACCCACAAGGAGCCAGTAAACGTGCGAATCCGTAAGTCGTCCACATAAGTCGTGAAAATGTCCGTAAGAAACACGAATGGTAAAGCGGTGTTTCATAGTGCACGGACAGCATATAATTCCTTCAGCACGCCCTTGACAACTATTGGATAAAGGAACGCAATATGTGGTTGAAATCGCCCAAGCAACCAGTACTAAATTTATACATTGAGACAGAAGAAGGACCCTGTAGACGATACGAGAGCAAAACGAAAAATAACCCCTTCATACTGTTCAAATAAACATACAGGTGGTTAAGGTACGAGCGACCGTGATGTGAGACATAACGGAAGTGTGTTAGACGCACTAATCGGTATTCCTAATGTGGCTTTGTGATAAGTCCCGATTCGTAAGTAAACACACCGAGGGTAGGCATGGTGTTAGCTTTGAATACACCGTAAGAAATAACCACACATTGGAGTGAACTGTTAATAAAACGAAATGGCAAATAGGACTGGATAGATGGGACTAAATATCTCTAAACTATGTTTTTCAGCCATACGTGTCTGAACCCAAGCAACTGGGCCTACTAGTCTTAGTGGGTTTTCAGAGAACCGAAAAAATTAAATATGAAGCGAAACACCGTGTAGTCGCGTGGTGAGTGGCGAGTTTCAAAAGGTTGACAGCAAAATGTCCAGTTTTCGTGCTTCATATCAACGAGTGGACGCTCAGAAAACTTGGACAAAAGGAAGACAAAGAAACAACGATACTGCAAAAATCAAAGAGTAAAACTGACTTGTTGAAGTGGGAGAAAAATACCGCCTTGTAACAGAAGAACCGCGCCTTGTCCTTCTTCTCAAATTGTTGAATATTCGTCTTTTCCATCAATTCCAAGCCCTTCGGAGGAGAAGACAGATGTTTGTTAGGAGACTCGTCAAACCGTAGAAATACAGAGTTACAGATGGGACAACACTGTAGATAGTTAACCGGCAGATAATATAGAAACCTATGTCTGGGTGCTATAAGAACTTCGGGTATCATGAGATCCGAAAACTTTTGGCATGAGATGGAAGAGGAAATTGCGCACCTGAGTTATCACAGTGCGTCAATTATTACTATTTACAGGCTATGTCGAGTGACTGACTAGTATAACTTACTACTAGAGACATAACATAGCGGAAGAGAGTCGGATACAAAGCTGGCGATAGACTCTGAGGTGATCGCCATGGCTAACACTAGACAAGCGAGAGAATTCCTCGAAGCTTGGCACAAGAGCCCGACCGGCATCGAAAGGCATGTGGACCTCGATTCACATTAGGCCGGTTTGCGCGCATGGTCTACTAACTTACGCCCAGCGTGAAAAAACAATCGTCTATTGATGCTCGGCCAAGTAGAACTTCACTGATTCTGCAACCCTCCGGACACGTGGACCACAATCTAAACGTTCACACCTCCTCTCACTTGCAGCGCCTATCGCAGCAGGATTCGCGTCAACCGAATTTCTCCCGCACCTACCTCTGTTCGATGTAACCTCTGCCCCCAAACCCTCTAATGCGACAATCCCAGCCTTAACTTTTCATTCAGTCTGACGACGAGCAAGAACTACCTGCTCGAAAATTCACGCTTGCAACTCGATTTTCCGAAAATATTCATTCTTCTCAACAGTTCAATATTCCGGAAACAATGCAGTGATAGAGAACTCTAAATCCACAACTGTCCATTATAGCCAGCACTACAAGGCTTTCATTCAACCGTCAAAAGAGAAGCAAAATAGTGCATGCAAAAAGGTAGAGAAAACAGTTCGAGATAAGAGATTCTGTCGGCAAGAGAAACGTTGCGTGCGGCTCTGTTCAGTAGACCATCTTGCAGTGACCTGCCGAAAGCCTATTCACGCGCCATGAACGGAAAGTTATGCACTGGATGTAATCTAATCAAATGAGCAAGGAGAACTCCACAATTCTCAAGAGCTATGTACAGAGATGGGGGAATTTCAACTACACTGACTAGAAACAATGCATTCTGCGTCCAGTGACAACTAAAATGTGTCAGAATCACATAAATTAGTGTTCAAATTAAAGTCCACAGGCGGCCCATTTAAAGGAGAAAACTCAACAAAGGTAAACAAACGAGGCAAAAAGACTTGCCTCCAGCAGTTCCTCCTTCCGCAAGTCAGCCAATTTAAGCTTAATGTCCTGTTTTGTTTTCTCAAATAGCGGCGGAAGATTCAGATGTGAATACCTGGATTCGAAAACGCGCACATAAAAACAAAAAAGATAGAAACGGTATGGACAATATGAGTAGTAGCGAGAGAAATAACCCCAAGCGAAACAGTTTAGCAAGTTTCACCGAAAAGTCTACGGAAGGACATTAATTGGAGTCAGCGCCAACCATATTTACTGCAGAGATCGATGATAAAAGCAAAAAATATTATCACTATCCTACAACGGTGCAGGAATACACACGAAAACACCTCATTTATAAGCACAATATAAAATCTCATTCCGAAAATGAGGGTACAATAGGCTTTTTTTAGACTTCAGACGGTTATTATAAAACGAGAACAATTAAGATTTTTGTGCGGCCACCTCCTGCGAGGCTAACTATCAAATGACAATGGCATAGAAAAATAAGAGCCCTATTATGGGTAAGTCGGCGTAAGCATACCTGTCCAGGTTCTGTTGAGCAAGACTGGGGAGTCGATTTTTTCGGTATCCACGCACCAATTGAATCTGACAGAGAGCCAGTTCGCGCTGACACGCTGCGAGTAAATTGGTCTATGCGAAGGAACGAAAAGACGAAGATGAATGTAAGTACGATAAAAATGTGAACAGTAAACAGGAGCCTTAACGTGAACAGACTGCAAAAGATAAGTGGATTTAAACGCAACAAAGTAGGAGTTACTCTTTCCTGGCCGAATTTGTGTGAACTAGCTCCACAGTTGATGATATTTTCAAACACCACCTGGCGCCAACTGAGAAGATCACTCCAGAAGGAAAGGTCGTCACTGATGAGAGGAGGGCGAGCTCTAAAAAGGGGGTGGTGTATAAGAGGTAACGTGGGTATAGTCTAAAGGAGTTATGCTTCTAGCTTGTCAACTAATGAAGATATTCGATTCCACTTAAAGGGCTAGAGAGGAGTGTCAGTTCAAACCCGAGTACATGAAGCAACACGGAAATAAGCTTTGGGAAGGATTCCCAGTTCATTTTATTCCAACATATGGGCCGCTCAAGCAGATAGAAAAGAGGTGGTGGGGGGTCTATGAATAATGAATAAGCAAATGAGTAATTTCACTGATAGAAGACAGGCAGTACAATTATGTGCAACTACGCGAAGAAAGGTTGAGTCCAAGAGGGATATTTATATACGACAAACTGGAAAAAGTACCGAATACATGAATAATATGCTTATCTGTTAAACAGAGGCTGATACTCCTAAGAGAGAAAGGGCGTTCGAGGTGTGGCCGGCAGGTGATGGTCCATAGGTGGGCTAATCTCGCCCCCCGTCTAGTTCTTAGGAAGCCGAGAGCCATCGCTCAGTATGATGCGACAATTCAAGGGAATAACATGAAAAATGACAATAGACGGCCGGATGCACACTCACAGCCAGGATCTGAAGACAGTTTTGTAGTCGTAGGGCGTCCTCGTGGCACTGGCGACCGATGGAGCGCCCGGAGTGACGCCGGCGCCTCCGGCAGACGCAGTCAGCATTTGTCCACAGTGTTGGATTAGCAGGATGTTGCCCTCAGTAACTTCTATGGCACGTTGGAAGGCCTAAAGAGGAACGCCGCAAACAAACAAAAAACATGTTTGGTGGTACACAATTAGCAGAGATCGCCAGCGGCGTAGGAAAGACAAGGTTATGCAAACAGGAAAAAAAAAGTCTACATAAAAAAAGGCATTAAAGCAAGACTGTATGGAAAACCCCTGACAGGTTAGCCGAAATGCAAGCGAACTCCTACTGTAAGGGCTGGCAGAAAAAACAATTTGCCGATTTAATTTGGAGCACATAAAATTGCCTGGAGTTTGGCAGAATAGGAGTTCAAGTCAACGTCTAGCTACTTCCTTCAGGATGGCTTACCCTGGCCGATTTCTGAGGTCTTGCAACTTATGAAACATAGGAGTCCGTTAAAATCAGCATAGAATTTTACGCGGTAGAACCTTAACTATGAATTGAATGTGAAAACTTTAAACGAGAGAGATGTTTCGACCGTCGCTCTCGACGATGTCCACCACGAGCTTCAGCAAGCTAAGGGCAGACGCAGTGACTGTGGCCGAATTACAGTGAAAGTAGACTTGACGGATCTACCCCACTCTCTCACCACTCGCACATATGTACCCGATGTCAAGACATACATCAAGAAGACCGGATATGTGGAAGGACGCAGGCGGTGTGCGCGAACACAATCCAACAAGCGCCACAACAACACCGCCTTGCTAGGTAAGCTCCTACGTGCGCGGGAGCGCCATAAAGGTCACATTAAGAAGGAGCCATTGCAACCTGACTCTCAGCTGGTCAGGCAGTTAGCCAGTCAACGAAACAAGACACACACTGAGCCGGCTGCGGTGTTCGAGTTATCCC